GAGGATGCACTGAGGATGAGGATGCTGGATTGAGGCTTGGGAAAGTGGTGGGAAGGTCGCGATCTTGGTTGTGGCATCGGCATCTGTCTCAGGGGTCATGTTGATCTGTAGTTCTCAAGTAAACTCCATATCTGAACGTGCAACCACGCAATCTTCTCACTCAATTCCCATTGTCTATTATCCTATGAACAACCGAAAACTGTGCCCCCAATTCAAAACGTGACTGCCCTATCTGCAATGATAACATACCGCATTTCACTTTCTGACATCCCGATATGCAAGATTCTACTGGCAGAAGTCACAGCTCTAGCTCTGTCGCAGTATGGCGTTGCACCGCGGCATGAGTATGGCACAACGCTATAAGACCATCTCAAATGTAAAGACTGATCTCTCTGTTGCGATTTGATATATTGTGAACACAATACAGTGCGATGGACATGGCAGGCAGAGAGCCCACCAGGGCAGTGCGTACCGCAGATCAAGTATTGCCCGATAATTGTCTGACTGTAACACTTTTATTTCCAAAGACAATATAACATGTTTGTTCCCGATGGTGACGCCACAAGCACTGGGACTTTCCATGCGCTCGCGACGTTGAGGGTCGCGGGTCTTATGCCCCCCAGCCATGACTTCAGACACCTGGTTCTCAACATAGGCAAATCAAATTAGAGTGATCTGCTGTTTCAAAAAGCGTTGCTACGTGTTATTCTACTGGCAAACTCCGTAAAACACAGTGTAAACCAACTCAGTTTCACAGTCAAAAGCGTTGTGTTGTCAATCCCGGTTTTTCAGTCGTTTGGAACCTCCGCGCCCAGCAAACATTCCGCCAGCGCGCACTTGGCCATGTACCGGTGTCAAGACACAGACACAAACGACTAGAATCCATTACCTCCGGCCACTACCAGAACGGCATTGGCAGTTTGACCAATAGCACATTGATCCTGAAACGCGTCCAGGTAGCAAACGAGGCACGTTTGACTTGACGTTCTACCAGTGTCACTGCAACAGAAATGATTTATGTGACACCGACATGCCGACCACGTCAAATAACAAGCAACTTTTCGTCTTGTTCTCTTTCTTCTTCTTTCTTCATCCTCCACCATCACCACAATAACTTCTTTATCATCACAACAACTTCATCAACCTTGACAAACACCAATTTTAATCCTCACCAGCGGAACAGTTATCATGGGTTTGACTATTGCCTTTGAGATGCCTGACGGCGCCGCAGTTGTGATCTCGGTTCTGGTCCTTCTTATTTCCCTTTCTGTCACCTGGAAGATCTTCCTCCACAATCCACCAAAGAAAAACGACCCTATTGTTTGTGATGTAAGTCCCCCCAACCCAACTCGATAACATATGACCCTCTAATCGATCTACAGGACCGGTTCACGGATTATCTACCCCCTCTTGGTCACAGAGCTTTTAAGGCGTCGGAGCTCGTTCCACGCCGAGAACAAGAAGTTCTCAAGCAGCAGATCGAGATGATTGAGCGGAATAGACAGGCGGCTTTCACCGAGATTGGAAGAATTTACGCTCGGCGTGTCCAAATTGACAAAGCTCTGGATGAAACCGTCGAAGCGCTCAAGAAAGAATTCCCCCATGATTTCGGACCAGCACTCCCCCTCAAGAAGAAGATCCGCGACTTGTCCCGAGAAATGGAGCAGTGTTACGGGATGGCGGACGATATTTGTCATCAAATGCATCAGATGATGGTGCAGAGGTTGAGCCTTCGTCGAAAGATTGACCGCATTGACTTGCAAATGGAGTCGGCGCGTCTCGCTGAGATCATGCATCCTCATGTCATTCCCACCGAGGCTCTGGGCGATCCGGACCGGGAGGAAAAGAAGAGAG